ATCCTGCATGGCTACGTGACTGGAACTCTTCTGTTTGGAAAAGTCCCATCATGCATCCTGCCTTCTCAAGATAGAAGCTGGAAGCGACTTTCCCAGTCAGCCCTTGAATCAGTTGAGGCATAGGGCTTGGCCCTGCCAATCAGATGCATCAGCACTAGAGCAATGCAAGCCCAGATGTGTGGAATCTGTTTTCTCAGGAGAATGGTGGTACAGGGTGGGCCACAGGGCAGAGTCCCAGTGTCCCGGGCCTGGTGTCAGCCGGGTGAGCTGCGGGGTCTGTGGCTAGCAGCAATAGCAATGAAATCTCTGCAGCAACAATGTGATGCAGCGTGGTATGGGCTGGGGCCTGGCTTCCCAGCTGGCCGTGGACTTTGTGCAAATTAGACAAGGGCACCCCTTCTAGACACACTACTGCCATCTGCTGGGAAGTCGCTATGATAGACAAATCTAATGTATATTATACCAAATACATAAATCTGTCCAGGGTGTGAATGGTGCCCATTCAAAAGTGGTGTCGTCGTCGTGCAGGACATAATATGAACAGCTGATCTTGGTGGCCTTGCAAGCCTGACTCTTTGGCCCTTGTGCAGATTCAGTGAGAGACCTCATTGCCTTTTCTACTAAGCTGCCTGGAGTAGGTTCTGGTGTTTTACTAAGAACTCCGACTGATACAAATAGGCATGTGTATTTATGATATGCACCTCCTAGGACGAAAGCCCTGCTGACCAGCGGGTGGAAAAATCCTCCAAGAAGGCATAACACACTTTGTTACCCAGGGGGTTTGTGCTTATTGTATTAATTGTTAGAGGAACATGGGCAAGGGGTCTGACTCACTCTATCTTCCTTCGTTAGTCCAGAAAACGATTTGTTTATATTCTTTTGCTTCTGTCGTCAGGGCCAGAGTTCATGGTTAAACAGAGGCACCACAAGGATGAAAATGAGTGTGTGTGTTATAAATATTCGAGCAGGGAGACTTGTGGGGAAGATGGGTTTGCTGGGTCATGTCCATGCACTGCCGAACCTCCTATTGTTACAAGGAGGGATGACATCAGCCTATGTATCATTTGCTTGATGACTCCGT